AACTTAGATAGATAGAAATATATGACATCTGGGATTTCATCTTTAGATGGAATGGAGCAGTCAGTTTAAAGTACTTCCTGGTTTTCTAACTCAGTTTTCAGGCATTTTCTTGGGCGGGCCAGATTACGATCTCTTCGAATTGGTCAGCCCATCTGCTGTATGCTAGTCGCTATTTTGATGATGTCAACATGTCCGTACAGCGTCTTCCTGTTCTTATATAAGCCAACTTTTCCACGTCCTGCACTTCGAGTTCCGTCCAGAGTCGCCTGTCAGCGGTAACTCCTGCTAATTGCTCCGATATTCTGTCATCTTCATCTCTTCAAGCCAAAAATTCCTGCTTCACTGCGTTTCTTCTGTTGGCGATGAATCAGGGTCTCTATCGAGGCCAAAGGGTGCTTCGTCTTCAAGATAAGGCTGAGTATATTTGCTACAGCAACGACGATATCTTGTTTGAGCTGTTGGCAAAGTAACTCGGAGTCCTGGAGGATCATATGTTTTACTGCAGCAAATCTGCCGCTGATCTCGTGTTGGAACTCCGCGAAAGTTTCTGCAGCTTTTAACTTGCTGGTGTCAATCGGGCATCTGCCTTTTTCTTGTTTTCCTGGATGTGGCTGAGTTTTGCGACCACTCTGAAGTGGGTGGTCCGAGCCAACGTCAGTTCCGCGTCATAAATGGCGCTTCCCAGTTCCTGTCAACCAGTATGTGGTCCAAACGGCTCCTGAAGCGGTCACCAGACGCTGATTTGAAGGTGGGCGGAACAACGTACCGCTGTAGAATAAATGTCTAACAGCCGTCGACCGTTGCCATTCAGCATCCCGGAGCAATGATGGCCCATCACATGATGCCATTCGAAATTGTCCCCGAGAACCTGAGAGTCCATGACACCAGGGACGATCGATAATTGATGGTATAGAACTGTGAACTGAGAACTGCGTGTAAGTACACGCAGAATTCGTTCTTTTTTGATCGTGCGCGACATTGGTGGGGGGGGGCATATATGACCACAACGTTGACCTTCACGAGGTGAGAAACGAGCAAGCTGCTGGT